GGGTCACAGACTGGGAAATGAAGGGTAGCACAACTCAGGCATGAGCATTTATTGAGATGATAGTCACTTGTCCCTTTGAAACCGCTAGGATATTTGGAAGTAATTCTATCATTGGATTTTCACACATTTCATGATACAGCGTGTTGTAAAAACAACATTTTTACTTTATGATAAACCATAATCAAATATATCATGTCTGACTCTATAGATTGTGGGTGGATAATGAGAAATTGGATTCGGTGCGGGCTCAATTAATAGCTAACTAGCTAATATGGATAATTTTATTACCCGTTATCTATATCACTGTTGTGCTATGATGCAAATCCACGCTACTGTTGTGGGTAGAATAGCTAGTTATATAGTAGTCCGGGTACCTTCCTCTTATTTCGACCCTCTAGTATGCGGTGTCGAAGAAACAATAGTAAGGCAACCAAGTTAGTTTTATAGCCAAAACAGCACTGACTGGCAATTCTGCATTTGTGTGATCTGACTCTGGAAAACGCCGCTAACCACTGTGCTATTTTGCACAACTTCGTAGCCTGACTGTTTTGCTGTGGTGATGCCATTATGTCCCATGTGTGTGAAATATGTTAATTAAAACGTTCTCTGTTTGGAATAGTAATTTACCCTGAAGCGATTCGCGATTTTTTTTGTAAGGAAGAAAGAGTATTTCATTTCCACCGTAAGCGGGTAAATGCCAAAAAGTGGAAATGACACAACACGCTCGTACAAATATTATTTTAATCAATTTTAACTAAGTACGATTAATTATACCAGTCCATCACCTATAGTGTACTGTACCTACTAGTGCCCCTGTCCCTGAGCTATATTATAGTCGGCATATCATCGACCTGACCTGAACATTGTCGAATAGCTCAACAAACTACATGTATATGTACTGTTACCACGACAACACGATTCACCCGTTGTATAGGCAATACATCGATCAATTTCAATCAATACTTACGTTTCCGAAATAAACACCAAAGTCTAAGATCCTCAGTACGATTGTATCGCGTACAAATGAATGTATCGATCGATCAATTTCCAGAACTCTCGATATCAAACGAAATAGTTCACACGCAGTTCTTGTCCCATTGGAAAACATGGCGGATACTCCCAGAATTCTGCTGATAGCGGTGAGTACATGGTTATAAATCGTCATATCAAACTGTTCCCGAAGATCAGAAATTGTTAAAATGCG